TCTCCCTCTCTCTCTTTTCTCTCTCAATGGAAATCAGACTCAGCACCTTGTCCTTGCCAAGCAAGGACCTGTGCCACTGAGCTATCACCCCAGCCCCCTCTTTGTCTCTTCACCTGCCATCTTTTCATAAGAATTTTTTTTTTTTTTTCGGAACCAGGGATTGAACTCAAGCCCTTGCTCTTGCCAGAGAGGCACTTATTCCACTGAGCCATCTCCCCGACCCCTCATAAGGATATTAATACTGTTGCATTAGATACCCATCCTATCTCAATACAGACACATCTTGACTAATTTCATTTGCAATGATCTATTTCCAAGGTCCCTTGCCTGTTTTCTAAGGTCGCATTCTGAAGTCACAGCAATTTAGGACTTAGCATGTCTTCAGAGATGGAATACACAATTCAATCAGTAACAAGGAGCAATTTGAGAATAACTGTAAATGTAAATGTTAAAACAATGACATTGATCATTACTTAACAGAAATATTCAGGTATGTCCTCCCATTTTTCAAAAAATGCATTTATAACTTGCCAGGCATGGTGCCCTAGGCTTGTAATCCCAGCACACTGTAGGCTGGGGAGGATCCCTTAGAATTCAAGGCTATCCTGCAGGCTACATAGGGGGGACCCTATCCCAAAAAACTTTTTTATAGTGATCATTCTTTATGTATTTAGTACAAGGCTTATAGGGTCTCACTACACATATCAGACTCTCCTGATTCTCTTGTTTTCAGCCTCCCAAGCACTGGGATTACAGGTGTGTGCCCCTATGCCCAGTCTTTTTTTTTTTTTTTTTTTAATTGTATTTTGGGGAAGGGTCTACAGGGTGTTCAGGGTCTCACTACTAGATCGGACTCCTAGTGATTCGCCTGTGTACAGCCTCCGAAGAGCTGGGATTACAGGCGCATGCCGCCATGCCCAGTCTCAATTGTCACCTCGGTGCATCATGGGGGCGGGGCCAACAGGGCAGGCCTGGGATTGAAGCCGCGGCCCCACCCCTGCACCTGCTTGCAGGTGATTTAAACTGAGCTATTTGGCTGGCCCTACACCCAGCCCAGTCTCAACTGCTTTCTTAGCGTGGAGGAGGGGGGAGCAGGTCAGGGGACTGACTCCTGGCCCCCGCATCTGCCTAAACAGGCGCTTTAATCCGCTGAGCTATTTGGCCATAGAGCTCACTTTGTAGCCCCAGGCTGGCCTTACAGCAATCCTCCTGCCTCAGCCTCCTTAATGCTGGTCCCGAATGTGTGCGCCACCTCATCTAGACCAACATTTTGTTTCAGGGATAAAAATTAAAACTTCATTTCAGCAGGGCGTGGTGGCTCACGCCTGTAATCCCAGCCCTCGGGAAGACTGAGGCAAGTGGACTGCCAGCAATTCAAGGTCAGGCAGGGGTAGTGACTCGACTACAAAGCAAGACTTTGTCTCAAAAACAAAAGAAAATGTTTATGACCTGCGTTCCATTCTGGGCATTACTATTTAGTTCACCGTTGCCGCTAAAACGTTGCTCCTCGGGCTAAAATCACAGCGCCCAGCCGTGCCCAGCAGCGCCCGCCCCTCAGGCGCCACCGGCTCGCAGCCTCACTTTCCCGGCAGGCTCCGCGGCGGGGCGCGCGTTCTGCTGCGCGAGACGCCACAGGCCCGCGGCCGCCGCACAGTAGGAACCCGCTGCGCCCCTGCTGCCACGCTAGGGGGCGCCAAGCTCCCTGGCCCGCAGGGAGCGCACGCGGTGCCGGAGGACCTCGCTGCTGGCCGCCGCTGAAAGAGGCCAACACCCCCCCTCCGCCCTCCTCAGACTGCCAACAAGGCAGACTCCGGTGCTCATGCGCAGACACGTCCCCCACGCGCCGACGCACGGCGCATGCGCCTCGTGAAATCGCCCCCGCCCCGTCTTCTTCCGAGATTTCCACTTCCGGCTTCCCGGGGCGGGAGGAGGCCAGGAACATGCGGCTGTCGGTGGCCTCCGCCATCTCCCACGGCCGCGTCTTCCGCCGCCTGGGCCTTGGTCCCGAGTCTCGCATCCACCTGTTGCGAAACTTGCTCACCGGCCTGGTGCGACACGAACGCATCGAGGCACCATGGGCGCGCGTGGACGAGATGCGGGGCTACGCGGAGAAGGTGAGGCCCGCGGGTGCTTGGGGGCGGGGCGGGCTGCCTGGGGGAGCGGGGAGACGCCGCGCTGTGCGCTGGAGCGGCGCCCTCTCCTGCTGCGCCTCTACTTACAGCTGAGGCCGGGTTCGTCAGTGGGGCGAAGTGACTGAGGTCCTGCTGTGGGAGAATAAGACTAATAACACCAAGGCTTTTTTGCTCCGGTTGGATCCGTTCGTTTTGCTTTGCCTTCACAGCTCATCGACTATGGAAAAATGGGAGACACCAACGAGCGAGCCATGCGCATGGCTGACTTCTGGCTTACAGTGAGTGCGCATAACCCGCCTCCCTAAGCGGACCCTCTGCCCCCGTGAGATTTAAACTAGGGTACTTATTTGTGGAAGTGTATTGTGAATTACACAGAATCATGTTTTATGATTGAATTCGGTGTGCATGTCTATCTGCGCATCTGCCTGTAAGTGATCCTTCTTTGTAACTTTGTACCGTATTAGAGTGGGGGAGTCCTATGTGGGCTTGGACCCTACCTTTGGACCCTACCTTTGTCAGTGGTGAAAGTTAAATGCTTCTGAAGTGGTTCCTGACTTTGCTTTCTTGTTAATCATTCTTGCCCTATAGGAGAAAGATTTGATCCCAAAGCTGTTTAAAGTACTGGCCCCTCGGTTCCAAGGTCAGAGTGGGGGCTACACGAGGATGGTGCAGATCCCAAATCGGGACAAGCTGGATCGGGCAAAGATGGCAGTGATCGAATATAAAGGGAATTGCCTTCCACCCCTGCCTCTACCTCGAAGAGACAGTGACCTTACACTTCTAAACCAGCTGCTACAGGGGCTTCGGCAGGACCTCCAAAAGAACCAAGAAGCAAGTGTCTAAAGCTTCCGCGTAGAGCGGACACCAAGGATTTAACTGGACCTCTAGTGCAGCTCAAGGTCTTTGGAGTTGTTTTCTTGTCTAAGGAGAACTGGAGCTAAAATTGTGAAATGGACAGTCATGGGGGGACCCCACGGTCTGGGGACTCAAATGGACATCTCATTGCCCCAAAGATAAAATTCCATTCTATGAATGTGTAATTTTTTAAATTCTTTTAGGCCTTCTGGAAAACTTATCCGTCTAAATACCAAATTTAGGGCCGGCCAAATAGCTCAGCATATTAAAGTGCCTGCAAGCAGGCACTGGGCCCGGAATTCCCCGGACCTGCCATGCAGGCCCATGCTGAGATAGCAATTGAGACTGAGCTGAGGTGGTATGTGCCTGTAATCCCAGCTCTTGAGAGGCTGTACACAGGCAGATCACTACGAGTCTGATCTAGTAGTGAGACCCTAAACACCCTATCGAACTGTCCCTAAAATACAAAAAGAAAAAAAACAAAAAAAAAATCCTGAGTCTACCTAGGATAGTAAATTCATGGCTTATGTTTCTGGTTCTTAGTTTTGAGTTGTGTTTGGTTAGTACAGTTGTGTTTAAGTGTATTACACAGATTTGGACTCCTAGTGATCCTGTTTTCAGCCTCCCATGTGCTGGGATTACAGGTGCCCACCACCTTCCTCCCCCCCCCCCCCAACAGGGAGATTGAACTTGGGACCTTGCGCTTCCCAGGCAAGCGCTTATTCTAATGAGCTATCTCCCCGCCCCAGCCATGCCCAGTTTCAGTCACCATCTCAGCGGGGGAGTCGGGCCAGCACAGCATGTACTGGGATCAAACCTGGTCCCTGCACTCATGAGCAGGCATTTTAGTCCACTGAGCTATAGTTCTTTTTCTTAGTACCAGTTCAGATGGGGCTTGTGTCCTGTATCCCACACTCTCCCTGATGTGATTGTATTTTGATATCACGCGTAGAATTGAGCCCCTAGAATTTCTTAGAAAAACATTGTTTACTGCTGGTGGGGAATGGGGGGGTGAACATCTCAGTTTTATGTTACCCAATATACAAAGGCTCTTGCGGGGGACACTAACAATTTCTGTTTCCAGGCTGTGTTACCTTCACATGCTCTCAATCTCTGAACAGGTTTTGGGGGAGAAATTTTTATGTATTATCACCCTGAATGAAAACATAGAGGTATCTGACGGGATGTTGGCCTTCAGCATGAGCTCCTTCCTCTTGATATGGAGAGGGTTGTAGTGGGAGGAACATTAGAAAGTTCAGCTTGCTGGGGATTTCCTGGAAGTTTTTATTGTTGTCAAAATTGAGCCTCCGTGGGAACTTAGGAAAGGGAAATCCGGTTTCAGAATGGCCAGGCAAGAAAGGCACCAGCAGCTCTTTTATCGACTAATTATAGTGAATGAAGTAAGGCTTAGTCCAGCCACGATAATGCTCTGTAAGGCTTAGGAGTAGAGTCATGAGGAAGCCTCAAGCAATCACCACCCTTGGCCTGAACACTGATAGAGCATGGCCTGATAGTTACCACATTCCCAGTGGAGTGGGAAAACGATTTTTATCTAAGACTATACCTTAGTAAGAGTGAAGGTGGAGGTCTAACAGACATAAGCTTCAGTGACAACTATTGTGCTGTTTTGCTATAATAGCCTTAATCTTGATACTCATCTGTATTCTATAAAGCTTACTTTCTTCCTATACTTCAGTTTACCCTACATGGTAGTGAGAAAGAGCCTTACATTTGCCCTAGATATTTCTTTGGCACTGGTAAGTTTCACTGCTCTTCCTGTCTTTCCCCTCCCCCCCCCCAGGGATTGAACTCAAGCCCTTGCACTTGTCAAGCAAGTGCTTATTCTACTGAGCCATCTCTCCAGCCCCATGGTCTTCCTGTCTTAGCATGAACACTCACCCCAGCTAGATATCTTAGGTCATCCCTGACACCTAAAGAAAGCAAGTCTCTTAAAATTGAAACCAAGTCTGTGAAGCTTGACAAGGGGTAGCCTAGCTGGACTGCCATAACATTTCCTCTTAGCTAGACAAAATGTGTTTCACTTTGGGTGCTCAGCAATTATCTAAGTACTTTTTTAAGTGGCTGCCAGGCCTCACATAAGTTTTGGTGTGCTACGTATACCATATTTATCAAGTATTTGCCATAAGTCAGGTCCTGCCATCAAAGCGTTAGTTGAGCCACTGACATTGACCTCAGGGGTTACTACATCACCTTTAATACTTTGGCCCAAGTAAGAGATTATTAATCATGGAACATATACTAAAGGCTCAAGGATAACAAGGCAAATAATAGTATACTGAGAATTCTAAGTTCACCTCAGTTGGTGGACTGCCTTCAAGTCCTTCGAGGCACTGCTTAAATTCCAAAGCTAGCAAAGGCCTAAATGCAATGAATTTTGTCTTGGCAACTTAGGAAGTTCTCCACTGGAACTCTAGTTCTTTAAAGTAAGGTTGACAAAGTAGTACGCTCCTCAGCCTAGCTCAGTGTCCTAAGTATGATTAATTTATCTTCAATAGAATTAGATTATATTGCTATCTCCTGGGTCCCAACAGCCCTCTAACTTGCCTCTCCACGTTGTCGGTGTGATAGAAACATGATTACCAGGACTGGGGATTTGGCCAGCAGTAGAATGCTTGTCTAGCAAGCTGGAAGCCCTGAGTTTGGACCTTGGCACCAAAATCAAAAAATAAAGAAACCTGATTAACTTAATTCCTTGTTGATCCTTTAGTGCCTCACATCTTAAGGTCCAAATTTCTAGAGCCATCCTCCATACATCTCTGCACTCCATCTTTGTACCTTCTAGTTTCATGCTTCAGAAACAAAGTCATTTTGTTGGATACCTCTTTGAACTTCCCATTACACTTTTGGTGCTTGCAGTCTGCTACCCAGAGGCCCTTCCCACCTTTACCTGCTTAATATGTACACAAACTATGGTGGCTCATCTGATCATTCCTACACCTAAGTTCAGGGATGGCGACCCATTTAGAACTTTTCAGTGATAGAAATAAACATCCTACTGCCGCACTCATGCCATAGATTTGCCACCACTCAGTTCACCACAGTGGTCCATCACATCACAGAGGTTATGTTACAGACACCCCCATGATAAGTGAAAATCAGTGAAGCAGTAATACTTATTTTAGTATTTGTATCTTAAGGCTTTATAAACCCCACAGTCTTACAAACCTTTCCCACACTTTTAAATTAAAACACTTTTAATGTTCTTGACCCCTCCCCCCCTTTTTTTTTCCAGTACCAGGGATTGAACTCAGGACCTTGCACTTGCCATGCAGGTGCTTATGCTGCTGAGCTATATCTCTGACCCCCTTAACCAATTTTTTTTTTTTTCCCCAGACGGATTGAACTTGGGCCCTTGCGCTTGCCAGGCAAGCACTTATTCTACCAAGCCATCTCTCTAGTCCCGCACCTTAACCATTTTCTACATTCATAAACCTACATAATTTTAACAATATACGTACACTGTACAGTAGTGTAAATCCCATGATATAGTAAACAATCTGCCATAAGTAATTTAGATTAATATTTTTTGAAAATCCACAAAACAGTCCACAAAAGTCGAACCACGAAATAGCAAGGGACTACTGTACTTTGTCAAAGTACATACCTCTAAAGTGTTTCTATGACACACTGCGATTAACACATTCCATTACAGTTCTACAATGGGTTGATCCCAAATATCCATCCCAGATTAACTAGAAGCAGTCATTATTTTTATCGCCTTTCTATTGATGGGCTCAGGGTCTACGTTTTGTCCTAGCTAAGAAAAGTACGTTCCCATGTTATTCCAAGTGCCACTGGAGAATTGGCATTAGGCTGAAAATAACACTGAGAAATGGCAAAAACTAGGAGTACAAAGAATTCCCAAACTTAGGAACCCTACTTATATTGAAATAATAAACTCCTTAGTGTATTTTGCCATTTGAGCTTGTGGTTTCTGTTAATTGCTACCAAAGTAACTCGATACAGCAACTGGTGTACCACTGAACCTTTAGTGTTTCTCAAAAAAAATTTTTTACAATGACTCAGACCAAAAAACATTTACATTGCAATATTTGCATATATATAATTGAAGCAATTATATATACTTCACAAAACATTGTTTACCTTTACAAATAAGCACACTAATACTTTCTACTCTTCTAGTTCATCATAAAATGCTGGTCCCAATTTACATTGATTATACAAGCCACTAATAGATTGTAACCTGCTGTTTCTGGTCTCCACTCAGAATTCCAGTGACTAACGATTGCTTCACTTGATGAAATTAAGACATTTTATGACACAAAAGCCGTCTGAGGCCTGATTCCAGGCACGTCTCAACCTCTTCTACAATTATTTGCTGCCACTCTTCCTAGGAAACTTGTTTTCTGACTACATTATAATGTTGTGCATTGGATTGATGTTCCCTCTGTTATAATGCTTACTCTCTTCCAATCAGTGTCGACTTGATATTCAAATCTATGATCAGAAGTCACTTTTTTTTTTTTTTGAGACAGAGTCTCACTATATAGTTTAGGCTGGCCTCAAATTCGTTGTGATCCTCCTGCCTCAGCCCACCGAGTGGTAGGATTGCGGACATTGCTGCCACACCTAGCTGTGGTTATCATTCTTAATAACTGCTGGAAAGCCTGATACACCATAGGTGCATGATAGATCCTTATTAAATGAAGAATAGGCTACATCCATACCATAGCCAACTCCCTGGGTGAGCTTTATAAAGCATAAAGGGGGTAGAAAAAAAAGGAAAAGGGCCAGGGAGATAGCTCAGTGGAATAAGTGCTTGCCTGCCAAGCGCAAGTTCCTGAGTTTAATCCCTGATACTGCAAATAAATAAATAAAAATAAACGTGGTACTGAGTGCAGGAACAGGACTAAACTATATCCCTAAGTAACCAAGACATAAAAAAATTGTTCTTCCTCTTCAGGGACTTAAATGCTGAGAGTGTCAAGAACATAACAATATATCAAATTAGTTTCCCACACATTTCATATTCCACTTTCCTGAAATATTTATAACCAAACCACAGACAGAAAAACGCCTATACAATTTCCAACATAGCCAAAAGTAAAATGTCATTTTCATGAAATGTTCAGGCAAAGTTGTGCATTATTCAAATAATCCAGTTGTTTTTTTTTTTTAAACATCAATCACCACCCA